TATTTTCTCCGTGATCGTCGGTGCAGGAAATTCCGGTAACATTAAAATATCCCTCTTGGTGTCCCATATAAGTCCAAGCACCGTTGATTGACTCTTGGGATCCTTGCCAGTGTATTTCCAATCTCTTAAATCAAATCTGGCTTGAGTCAAAAGGGAACAGGCTTCTCTCCTGAAAACTTCAAAATCAGAATAAGAATTGACACTAGTAACACAGTCATCGACATAAAAGGATTTTGCCAGTTTCTCATAAACTGCTTTCTTATATGACAAAATGGTTTAAAAGAGTTTAAGGCTCTATTAATATGCAATTCAATCGCCGCCCCTAAAAGGAATGGGCTGCTTGTCAATCCGAAAACAACTCGATAAATCTCTATTTTTCCGTCAACGTTCCATCACAGGAATCTCAAAACATCTCTATCCGACGGAGAGACGCTGATTTGTAAAAAGGCAATATCAAATTTTCGCAATATCAGCTGTTACCCCTATCTTCCTCTTTCGAAATCGATGTAGCAATGCTGGAATAAACTCTATAAGATTGGGTCCAGTCTCCAAGCATTGGTTAAGCGAAGGGGATTCCTTGACTTTTGCTGACGCATCGAAAACAGGGCGTATCTTCATAGTTTTTTCTTTCTTGACTACAGGTCTGTGTGGAAGATAGTAGTTCTCTTGGTCGACTTCAAGTACAGGTACCCTTTCAATAATCACTTCTTCGAGCCAATTATCAAAGACAGCCTGGTAGTCGTCGAATAAATCTTCTTGTCGCAATCTCTTTGTGACGTCTTTTAGTCTCTTCTCGGCTACGTCTCGATTATCTCGTAGAGATGGATGATTCTCTTTCCACGGCAGAAGAACTTCGTATCGATCACCTTCGTTGTCGATTTTCGTTGTCTCTTGAAATGAGGTCTTTATTTCAGCTTGACGTACCTCTTTAGTAACACTCTCAACAGGATCCGTGATGCCCAAGACATCGAGTCTCCATAAATCTGATATGTTGGCTTCTTGAGTGAACATCGACATAATCGTAACGTAGTATCGGTGCCACTGTCATCGTTTATGTTCCTACCCAAGATTGTCCATTCAAGCTTAATTTCTAAAGCTGTTATTCCTTGATTTATCTGTAGGACTTTACCTGTGAATATTTTGCCAGCAACATCAGCTCCAATCAATAGTGAAATGGATTCTTGACGTTCACCGGTGTCGCTCAAGCGTATGTCTTTTTTCTCAAATATATCCATCCAAGTATCATCGATCTTACAAGGGGCGTTCTGGCAGATAATGTTTTGTTGCAAAGCTACGAAGTCGCATTTATATGTTCCATCTAAGTTGCCGATGTAGATCCGACAAGTTTTGTGTCTCTGAGGTTTGGTTTTAGTTCCTCCAAACAACAAGTGTACCATCGT